GATTTTTCTTTTCAATAATTGAGCAGAGATATATACGTAGTAATTATACACTGTCCTCCGTTAATGAAAAAAGAGATAGAGAGAGAATTATGGTTACACAATTCTGTCCTTGTCGTTGACGGATGTCAACATCATTTACTGACTTTTCTTTGGGATAGAAGTCCTTACTGCAACTTCACGGAAGGTGACTTAACCCCACCAACATTAGAATACTACTTGGTGTTTTCTCTCTCTGCTCGGTCGCTTGGTTCTCTCTCCCCTCTCTCTCTCTCTCCCTCCTAAGGAAATTAGTGGAAGCAGGTTCTTCACCTGAATTTTAGCCTTACTACTTTGCTTTTGCAATTTGGTATTGATCTGCTATAAAATAAAAATTGCTTTTGGTGAGAATAATTAGTTGTGAAAAGATTATCTTCCTTGATTTCAATTGAAAGTTCTATGACAAGAAAACTTTTTGTTTGGACGAGAAAATTTAAGATTATTAAGGGCTTGTTTGGTATCATATTTGAAATTTTTTATCATTTCTCAAAATATTTCTTGAAAACAATTTTCTTTAAAACTCAAAAACTTGTTTGATATGCGATTTAAAATTTTTAAATCTTATAGCTCAAACTGAACAAGGAGATCCAAAAAGAGGTGGTCGAGGGAGAAAGAGGAGAGGGGAGGAAAGAAAATAAGAAATGATTGGTTGAAAAAGAATGAAGAGAGAGAATCGGAGGAGATAGAGAGGAAGAGGAGTGAGAGAAAGAACCGAGAGAATAAAGAGAGCGGATTGGATGAGAGACAAAAAAAGGTTAAAAAAAAAGAAGGGGGAGAGAGAAAGAAGAAAAGAGAGAGAGAGATTTGGAGTGAGAGGGGAGCAGGGAGAGAAAAGAAAGGAGTGAGTTTAAGTTTACAAATTCTAAAAACTCATTTTTTGTGTTTTTAGATAATAGATTATATTTTTTAGTTAGTTTTAAGTTCAGTTTTTTAAAATAGTTCTACCAAACAAGTTTTTAAGGCCTAAAACTTGAAAATTGTTTTTGAGTTTAAAAAGTTAGATTCAAGTAGAGTACCAAACATGCCCTAAAAATTTTAAAATAACAGAAATGAAATAACGAAATTTTATTTTCTAGAATTTATAAATTTTCTTGTTTGGTTAACCTAAAGGATGAATGAAATTTGAATACATGTTTGTTATTTTTAAACTCTCACTTACTGAAATTTATAAATGACACATATTTACATGAAATTTAAACATGAGAATTGAAGGTACCAAATTCCAAGTTTTTTCTCACGCGGAAAGTCTAAATTTCTATATTTATGAATCCAAACAAAGGAATTGATTGTGTCAATTTAAAAATTCTGACTTTTGGCAAAATTATAAGTTTATTGTCCTTATCCAAACATATTGTTACTATACCAATGCATGACCATGACAATAACATATCCAGTTAGGGTCTAGGATATTTCTCTTCACTTGTAAGTGAAATGTCTTATGTTCGATTCTCATCAAAGGCAAATTGAACTATATTATTGCTAGCTCATTGTTAGGCTTAGGCCACTCCCTCACCCCCTTAGTGTAGATAATATCGTTTGTTCAAAAAGAAAAAAATATATACAATTGTAGTGACAATAATTTTCATTTTCTTCCTCAGTATTTGTCATGCTTGTTTGAATGTATGAACAAAGATATACTGTGATTTGCAACAAATTTAAATAGTTAATTATGAAATATGTGACTTTTTGTTTTAACCAAAATTTATACTTATACATGTACATGTAGACGCACAAGGTTTTTGAGACGATGCAACAAAAAAAACAAATGAGGCAAAAGTGAACAGAAAAAAATGAGAGAAACATAATCAAACGTTGGTGTTCTAAATTGCATCCCACTTTAACTACAAACCTCATTCAACCCAATCCCTGTAAATCATTCACAATAGAAGCACATTGGAAATTTGTTGCACACTTGCCCAATTCGTTGCTTCAATTTGTGGATAGCGGTCGGATAATGCTGAGGATGACAAAGATTTCAATTTTGCTATGTTGTGACCCATGTGGTCTTGGCGTTCACAAATCTTATCTTTTTCCCAGTGAGCGGAAACCCTTGGCGGCTTTTTGTGCTAACGATTTTACGTAAGTTTGGCGGCAACGACGATGTGTCGGTGGCTCTAGCTTGCCGTGGTATTTCCTCTGCCATCCTAAGCCCCAAGCCTTTGTTGTCCTTGCCACGGACACAAGCTCATGGTTGTACAACCCTCGTCTCTTGCCACGTCTGTACTCGTGTCTTGCCTATGGACACGCATCTGGACACGTCATTGACTGTAGTTTAATTTTAAATATATTACGAAATTAAATAAATGTACTCTCACGTTAAATAAAGTACTAACTTCAATAAATTGGAAACAACATAAATAATAAATTACAACCCAAAGTGATCGGAAAACTATGGGGTCCGATTACAAAAAGTACCCTATTCATCATCACTTAACCAATTTGTGGTGCTAGGATCATCTTGTCTTGTTGTGCTAGGACCATCTTGTCTTGATCTCGCTTCTCTTACACGCCTCCTTCGCACCACATCCGCTTTCTCCGACTTCCAAAAATATTTAGAATTTGGAGACATCCCTTCTAAACGCGTGTTCATAATGTCACGATCTCGTTGTGCATTTCTTTCTTCTCTAAGCAACTCCCTTTCTTGCCTAAGTAGCTCTCTTTCCCTCTGTTCAACTTGAAATGTTTGTTCAGTAGCTGCAGCTTTTGCCTCTTCTCTAGCCTTTTCAGCCTCATATTTCGCCAAATCCCGTGCCAACGTCAATTCACCTTCCTAAACGCGTGTTCAAATTGACGATCTCTTGTTCATCTTTTTCTTCTTCTAAGGTTTCTTCTCTAAGTAGCTCTTGCCTTTCCCTGTTCTAAGTAGCAATCTTGTGTTCTGTTCTGTTTGCTCAAAATTTGCAATTCTTGCCTTCTTCTGCCTCAATTCTTTTGCTCAAATCTCTATAAATCCCGCCGTCATTATTCAACGTCAAATAGCCAATGATCAAAATTCATGTAAATAATTCATGGAAGCACTCCCTTTCCTCTTTGAAGCCTTCTTACCTTGAGCCTAATTAATGAAACGGTCGACCCCGACGCTTGACGCTTGTTCAGGAATGGGTGTTTCAGGCACTTCTTTACATCTTCTTCATCAGGTCCATCAGGGTGTAGAGTGTGGAGAGGGTTGCTGTGTACAAAATGTGCTGGGAGGGTGCTGTTCAATGCAACCTGGGTGTAACGGGCTTTCAATGGCATGACTTCCAACATGCCATTGCTTGAATTTTGGGACACTAACATGCATGGCCATACTTCATGCAACATAATTCTCTTTGAAATTTATACAAAAGACAAATATTGAATTTATCTAGGAAGATAAATAATATGAATGAAATTAATTATGAAATAATATGGAATAACAATAATAAAGAAATAACAAAATAATAAATTAAGAAATTATGTAAGGAAAAATAAATATAATAAAAATTAATAATAATAAATGAATAATAGAAAGAAATAATAATAATGAAATTATAATAACAAATAAATATTATATAACAAATAATCTACCACAAATAATAATAATGAAATTATTAGGTAACAAATAAATAATACAAACAAATAATAATAATGAAATTATTGGGGTAACAATAAATAATACAAACAAATAATAATAATAATGAAATTATATTAGGTAACAAATAAATAATACAAACAAATAATAATAATGAAATTATTGGGTAACAAATAAATAATACAAACAAATAATAATAATGAAATTAGGTCACAAATAAATATTGCAAACAAATAATAATAATGAAATTAGGTAACAAATAAATGAAACAAACAAATAATTATAATCAAATTAGGTAACAAAATAATAATACAAACAAATAATTATAATATATTCTTACCTCATCCGCATAATTTGCCCAACTTCGAACATTATTACTAGCTTGTGTCAAGGCATCTCTCCACGTACTAAAGGAATGGCTAAGTATTTTCCAACGACTCGATATCGATTCTTTGGTTCTTTTCCCACCAATTTGCTCAACAAATTTGGTATGAATTAAACTCCACATTTCTCGCAACTGCATCTCATTACCCGTAACGGAATTATGAGTAACTTCAACCCAGCTAGTGCACAACGCAACATCTTCAAGAAGCGACCAATTCGAACCTGCATCAGTAGCCATTTTGTGGAAAAAAATTGGATTGAAACTTTGAGAGAAAGATAGGAATTTGATTGAAAGTAGTTGAGAAAATATGAAATTGTGGTGTAAGATAGATAGAGAAGAAGTGGTATTTATAGAAAAGTAAAAACAATTTTTTACAATTTTTTTTTTCAGATTTTTTACAATTTTTTTGGATTTTTTCCATTTTTTTTAAATTTTTTTTTCCAATAATTAATTTCTACCGTTGGATTTAAAAAAATTTGAATTCCAACACTCCAGATTGTGCCACGTGTCACAACGGTAACTTTTCTTAATTTTAAAACTATTTTTTTTTAATTTATAAAGCAGATTAATATCAACCGTTGATCTTAGATCGAACGGTTGATATAAAATCAGTTTTTTTTTTATTACCGTTGCAAATCGGACGGCTCGTATTAAAGAGCCGTTGGGATCGAACGGACCGTGGGAAGCCACGTGGCTTCCCAACGGTAACTGGCCGAAAACCCCACTTGTCTGATTTCTTGTCGGGCGACGCGCCCCCACTCGCGAGTGAGGGGCACGCGCCTGACACAAAAAAAATATAAAAAAATAGCCTGGACCCAGGCCTGACGTCACGGGCCTCGGGCCACAGGCCTGTCAATTACCCACCCCCCCGGCCCTCGGGCTCCCACCCTCACTCGGGCCCTCCATGGCTGGAGATGAATTGACTGGCCCTCGGGCCCTTTGCTGTAGCCCGTCCCCCGGCCGATTGGCATGGGTGGACTTGCTCTTACGGTCCCTCACCCCGTGACCCCTCTTTCATTCTCTCTTTCTTTCTCTGCACTTTTCTCTCTCTCTCTCTCTCTCTCTCTCCTCAACAATAATCTACAACCTTTCTCTCTCTAATCTCCGAGAAGGAACCCCCACCATTTCTCTTGATGCTGACCAAATCAACCCTAAAAAATCTAAACCTCGAACCCTTGGGACATGGGGAATCCACCTACGGCGTTGTACGTATCATCGATGCACCATCGGGCGCTCTGCCATTAACGCAGAGAGCTTAAGCTCTCTCAAACTCTATCTCAGGTATGAATTATTGCCCATATTGGTTATGTGAGTTTTAATCTATCTAGAGAGTTCCATAAGCTGCATGATCTCCAGATTTCTCCAAAAAAAAATCCCTGATCATCGATTTCCCAAAAAAAAAATCTTGTCCATCAATGGCCTGTAACAAATTCAAGCCTTTTCATTTCGTTTCTTCTTCCCCTGCAATTCTACCAAAAATTGCCAAATGATGCTTGCTTTCCTTGGATCTCGAGAGAGTGGTGTTGGGCTAGCAGTGTATCTCGCTGAAGTTGGGAGTGGTGGTGTGATGGTGGCTGTCGGTGCTCAAGAAAACAGAGAAAGAAGAGTGGATGAGAGGAGATGAGGACATACCAGCCGAAGGGCTTAGCAGTCCCATAGTCACAGGGCGCTCTCGCTAAGACCTCCTAGCGAGGGAGATAGTCGGAGCGAATCCCCTTTAGTCTCATTAAAGTTAGTTTTAGCGGGTACCAAACACGGGATTGGACTAACCCTTAATCTAGTCCAGTCCAATGAGAGTTAAGGAGGGCAAACAAACGCCCCTAAAGGATTTAGCCTTATAAGTTTAAATGCATACTAGCAGATGCGCTCGCCCTCTGGTGCGAGTTTTATCCAATCAAGACATACTCTTCCAAAACAAATATTTTCTGTAGATTCTTTTTACTGCTCTTATCCCCCTCTTTTTTAACAAATATCAGCAATAAAGAATATCAATTTCGACAAAAATTGCATAAATTACTGAACTTTGGGATTGAGGGCGAATTTGGAATTGTGTTCCCATTTCGACCCAAAGCATATTCCTCTCTCTCTATCCACTTTCTTCTGGAATTTAAAAATACACACAAAAATGATGCAGAAATACCCCAACTTTTTGAATGCAGAAGAAGCACCGAAGATCCAACGGGACCCAATTGATATTTCGGCACAGAAGCTCGATTGTTGCATTCCCAGGTTCTTAATCTTGTGATTTTCCTTTTCTTTTTTTTATAGGTTTATTTATTTATTTTATGTTTGGTTCTTGAGAAAAAAAATGAGGAAAAGCAAACGCAGAAAGGATGAAAGTCAAAGCGAATGCCAAAGAAAAGTCATTTTCCATTTTCCAAACACATTTTCTTGCATTTCCTCGCTTTCCCATTTCCCTTTTCCAATTTTCTGTAATTCTTTCCAAGAACAACTAATTCTTTCCAAATTCCAATCAAGAAAAATAAAAAATTGTATGTAAATTTAAGCTTTACCTGTAGATTAGCAACAACAACAGCAAACTAAATCCAACGATCTGGAGAAAATTGGGTTTTAGGGATTTGAGTTAACTGAAATTGACTTGTGTTAGGACCTTGATATGCTTTAGCTCATTCCCTTAAGTTATTTCCTTTGCATTGTAATGGAATATTAGAATATGGTGACTCAGCACTTGGGGTTACCTAACCTTTTGTCTGTAGTAGCTGAAATGGGGTATAAAGAACCCATCTGTATTTCCCTAAAGGTTATGAATGAACAATTTCACTTTTTATCTGAATTCTTTACTTTTCTCAGCAATTTGTCTCCTTGGAGCGGCTGATACCAAACAATTTGGATGAGCAATTTTTTGTTTCGATTCATGGTGGAGCAAGAATGAAGATGTGGAGAAGGACGGAACGAAATGATGAGAAAATTTGGTTGACCAGTATTCGGTATCAATTCGGAGTGGAGCTAGAAGGAAACGGTGCAGAGAAATGAAACAGTTAATGAAGCAGTGCTGCAGAGAAATCTCCCTAGCACGCCACGTGTGCAAAACAATTTTTATACACACCCATGCCCATAGGTCAATTGGCGATTTCACCGTATAGAGGCATAAAAGTAGGAACACAGAAACATTAAAAATGAGGGCAAAAAAGTAAAAATACTGTTGCCTATGAACAATGTTTTTCTCATTCCGCTTTAGTATAGAGCATTTCCTATTTTTTGGGGTTTCTGATAAGAGTAATGTTTGAGAGATGGCATATTTATATCATATTGATGTATTGTATGATATGACAAGTGATACATATAATTAACAGTCTAACATCTAATGAGATAAACTCATTACAAGACATGGTATGTACACAGCCATATCACAATATGGTACAACAATGTAATATAAACGTGTAATCTCTCTAGTATTTTGCTTATTTTTTATTTATATTTGTTAATAGAAACAATATTGTTGAACCTTAAGAAGGATTACACTCAGCGTCATGCGGGTAAACATATGGTACATAACTACCAAATATGGGTAAATTCCAGCTCCTACCCATGGGAAGCCCATGCCTTGCTTGCACATGACCTACTTATTGAATCGGAATTAATTGTGGGTTCCTCTAGGTCTTTCTAATATTGTTTACTAATTGTTGCGGCATATCAAGTGACTTTGCATAAAAACCTTCATAACATTGACACGGTTATAACACTATGTGTCGTTAATTGTCAATCATGCAACACAACGTGTATATTCTTTTTACATAACATTTGTGTGATTGACATGAGACACCACGCATGCCATAGAAGTTGATATTGAAATAAAAATTTGATAAACTAAGTTCATTTTAGCAACACATATACATGTAATTAACAATTAAAGGCTCTAGCATGCTTATATGCAATGTTTGATTTTACAATTTCAAGTGGTGACCAATGTTTGATTTACAAACTTAGAAATCCAAATCAGGAAGTTCCATACATCAGATTCCCAATCCGTTAGTTCCAACCATCCTCAAATATTACATTCTATGACGCATTAAAGTTTGGTGACGATCCAACGGTCGGATCGTCGAATCACATTTTGACCTACCCACATATCGTAATGAAATTAGGTTTAAACAATCAAACCATAACATAAGGATGTCAGTTATGAAATCAGGGCATCTAATTGAACTTAAAAGGACATCGTTGGCTCGCTGGCCAGGCCGCCGCCGCACGCGCCGCAGCGGGTGGCGGTCGGCCGCCCCGATTTGCCGGAAAAATTCAACTATTTTTAAAAATTACCAAAAATTACAGAAATAAAGATCTCAATGAGTAGAGTAAACTTTATACCTGTGACCAAGGCTAATTTGATCAAGAAGTATTCCAATTTCTCTAAAACCCGTAAGAACCCTAGAATTGGGTGTGCTCCAATTCGACCTCTAAACTTGCTCCGACGTCTCCACCACTGCCTGGGCTTTGTTCAGGGGCTTAAGGAAAGTCTTTTGATGGTGGTCGTTGGGTGTAAACATTTTGGATTTGGGAGATTTGACACACACACCCGCTACACCCTTAGTGCGGTTTCTCCCTATTCAAGTCCAAAACCTTTTATTTTTAGGGTGAAACATGTAGAGGGAAGGACAAGGGAGTGTTTCCAAGTGGTTGTTTGAAGAAATTCGTCGGAAAATCGTCGGCAAATGGAGATGGGTGGCCGGCAATACCCACGGGTCGTACGAACCCGTTTCTCCCTTTTCTTCCCTTTTTTTTTTTCTTTTCTCTCATTTCCCTCCTTTCTCCTTTCTTATTGGGTGTCCCCCTCTTTTCTCTCCCGCACTCTCTCCTTTCTCCCCTCTCCCTTGCTGCCACTTGGCAGCTTCTAAACATTTAATTATTTATTTTCCAACAACTAAAACGTCTATAACTTCTTCGTTATAGATCTGTTTCATGAACGATTTGCGCCTACGCGTTCGTGAGATCGAGCTCTATCTAGGGCTGGGCACGGGCCGGGCCGGGCCCAATTTTGAAGGGACCGGACCGGACCCGGGTGTAAAAGAAACGGGCCGGAGCGGGCCGGGTGCAACAAATTTTAAAATAGAAACCGGACCTAACCCGACCCTTTTCAAACGGGCCGGTTTGGGCCGGGTACACGGGTCCTTGTTTTTTTTTTCGCCCATTTTCCAAATCACCCAGAAAACAAAAACAATTCAAGCTTCAAGTTTTCTCAAAGAATCCCAGAGTAACAGTAATAAAAGAAAAAAACTTAGCCTGCATCTCTCTAACAAGCTGGGAAATGTACTGATCTGTCGCAGACTCACAGCTACTAAATCCTTTTCAGCTTTCTGCAGAACTTCCTCTTTGTTGTGTTTATTGATTCTGTTCAAGTTCAAATTCCACAGCAACATCATTTCAATGATGATATAAATAAAATTATTATAAAAAAAAAAACCAAAATCCAAAATCAAAAACCCAAAAAACAGAAACAAAATTTGAAGCAAAAGGTCGCAGCTTTCTTACCTGTGAACCTTAAAGATGACCTTTTTGCTATTAATGGTGATATCGCGACTTGCTTTTACAACCCTTTCCCGCTTGTCATTCTACAAACCTTCGAGTCGCTCACAGAGCTGCAAATTGGTGAAGATTAAATTAGGGATTACGAGATTGTTGAGGTAATCAGAATATTTGGAGAAGGTGTCTTTCATGGAGGAGGTTTCGACGGCGGTGGTGGTGTTCACAAGAGGCCTCGACTCGAGTGGGAGAGGGGAGTGACGACTCTGATCTGAGAGAATATGGGGCAGGGGTAGCACCGATGAAGACCGCCGTGGCTTCAACGAGAGGAGGAGTGAGCGGTGGAGTAGGCGCTGAGTCCATCTTGAGAGAGGATGGATCCTGGAAAAGTCGAGAGAGGAGGCGAGAGTCAGCGACTAAGAGAAAGAGTGGTAGTAATGAATGGTAGAGATTTAATCTTCGTATATGGACGGTGGAAACGGTCCGGGCCTGGGTACCCGGTTTTTCAGAAATTTAGACCCGCCCCGCCCCGCCAATTACATGGACCCGCCTCGACCCGCCCCGTTTTGAGTTTACAAAACTTGTACCCGCCCCGAACCGGCTAGACCCGACCCGCCCCGCGGTTCCTAGACCCGTTTGCCCACCCCTAGCTCTATCCACAGATATAAATTGTGACCTCGGACGGTTTACGAATTTTAAATAATTAATTTCCAAACTCTAACCTTCGTAACTAGTTTAATTAAAGTATAACTTCAAATAACTTAATATAAATTCTCGAGAATACAAACACGTACATTATAACAGTGAAATCCGGGAACGAGATTTCACAATACAAGCAATAACCAACAAAAAATTTAAACTAACCAAAAACTGAAACCATTTTAATTTTCCATGTGTATTCAATGATTTGCTTCCTGTAAAAATAGGAAATAGGGAACAATTATTTGGAGATGGAATCTCATATAGAGCTAGCAGAAGAAGCAAAGAAGATATGCAAAAGCAAATTAAGAGATCATCATATTACAAAAGCTATAGAAGCAAATTAAGAGATCATCATATTTGGAGACAGAGACACATAAAGCTGCAAAAACAAATTATTACTGCTAGAGCTGGGTTCGGTTCAAAACGGTTCGGTTCGGTTCGGTCCATTTTTTTTTTCGGTTTTTTTCGGTTTCGGTTTTTTTCGGTTTTTTTTTTTTTTGGGAAAAATGAAAACAAAATTGAAATCTAAAATTTTAACATCTCCAACACAATTATAATATAAGCATTCTAACACAATGAACAAAATTTATATGAAAAATGCACACATCTTTAAAATACAAAGTACAAGCCTATCATTCCTAAACATGAAGTCGTTTAATTACCATACCTGTTTCACCATCAACTGCATGAACATTATCAGTAATTTATTTGAAGGACCACAAAGCCATTATCTGGACGTCTAGTATTCAAAGGATAATCTAAAATTGAACACCACCCAGATGGATGGACAAAAAGAACGCTTTGAAGGGAAGCCTAAAATTAATTTGAGACAATACAGATGCATATAACCAGTTTTCTCTAAAGTGATATAAGTATATCTTATATAAATCATGTCAACAAGAACAAGCCTGGATGTTCAATTCTATTTGTTCTCTGAGAGAAATCAATACCAACTTCATATATTGTCCAGATCCGTTTACAATTTAAACTCTAATACTCATACATAATGTAGTCAAGAAACAATATGCTCTATTGATGCTAGGTTTGATGGAAATCTTCCTTCAGCACCAAAAACGTTATCCATAATAAAACGCTACTCAGAGAATTGCAATGCCTATGCTACTTTTCAGAACACGTTACCAATGAATCTTTGGTCTTTTCCATCATGACTTAGCATGTCCAAGAGTCCATAACCTAAATGAAAATACATGTTTAACAAGATTTTTACCACTAAAAGAACAACATATGATTTACAACCTTCAACAACATGTCAAATTTGCAGGGCCATAGTTTCACTTAAGGAAATACAAGAGTCGGAAGAGAAATTCAAAGATAACAGGTAATCACATATCATGGAAGCTCTGATTCCCAGAGAAATATACTTATCTCCATCCTCTTTCAAATTATACATAAAAGTAGGCTATCTATCGTCACTACACCTTGCCAAACCATAAAGCTGCTGATTTCCTCCAATAACAAAATGATAAGTCAAACATGATCAAATTGTTCCCAAATTAAGACGAAGAAAGAAACTGCAAAAGTAGCTCAAAAAAATCCAACTGGGTAACAAGTAAGCAAAAGTTCCCAACTCAAATTTAGCATGCAATTAAAAATGAATGAGCAAAAAAAATTCAAAAGTACAAAAAAAGACAATTACTTTCTATTTCCCTAACCTCAAATTTCTCCCCTGAGCAAATTTAACATACAATTAACTGATTAAGCAAAAAAAAATGAATGAGCAAAAAAAATTGTAAAGAAGTGGGAAAGAACACAGAACACCTTGATTTTTGTGTACTTTTCGTAGAGTTTGGAGTAGAGAGCTTCCGTCTGCGAACGAACAAGAAGAAGCTCACGGCGAGACTAACCTTTTGCAGTCGAGACTCGAAACGGCAAGAAGAAGCTCACGGCGAGATGAAGGACTGACGGCGAGGGCGAGGTGTGAGAGATTGAGAGTGAGATGGGTCGCCCCGTCGTGGGTCGCCTGAGATTCAAGACCGAGAGAGACAGAGAGTTTGAGAGAGACAGAGAGTGATTGAAGTTGAAGACCGAGAGAGAGAGAGAGGAGGCTAACCTTTTGCTATCGAGACTCGAAACGGCGAGATGAGAGACTGATGGAGAGGGCGAGGTGTGAGAGATTGAGAGTGAGAAGGGTCGCACTGTCGCGGGTTGCCTGAGAGATTGAGAGAGACAGAGCGATTGAAGACCGAGCGAGAGAGACAGGAAGCTCAGGCGGCGCGAGAGGGTTACTGGGTTAGGGTTCATGGAGGGAGTTTGGACTGGAGGCAGGGAACAAGAGAGAGAAGAGGGGAATGAAAAATAAAAAAGTTAGGGTTAAAGGATTTTGTTGATTTCTCAACAAAATTAAAAAACAATCTCATAAATCCTAAAGGCATGAGGGTTCGAACCCATTGCCACCAGTGTGAAAAATTTCGCTTAAACCAACTTGGCAACAAGTTCTGTTTTGTTATGATTGTATGCCTAAACTATTTATAATATTGAAAAAAAAATTAAATATATATATATCGGTTCGGTTCGGTTCGGTTCAGTTTTTGAACCTCAAAAACCGAAACCGAACCGGTCAGATTCGGTTCGGTTCGGTTTGACAGTTTCGGTTCGGTTTTTTTTCGGTTCGGTTTTTTTCGGCCTCGGTTCGGTTCGGTTGTCGATTTTTTTCGGTTTTCGGTTTTTTGAACCCACCCCTAATTACTGCTGACAAAGGGGGTAGTGAGCTCCAGAAGGTTTTCAATTCGAATAGATGTCGATCAGGAAGGAAGAAATCACGGAGGAAGCAGAGATTGCGTAGCAGAGATGGAAGGGAGATCACGAAGCTTTCTCAGTTTTAAGTTTCTCGTGGTTTCTGAAGAACTCAAGAGTTTTCTCATTGTCTCTTTGACGGCAACACGGGTACAATGGGATATATTGCTCCTAAGTTGTTCTACAAAAATATTGGAGGTGTCTCATACAAGGCCGATGTCTATAGTTTTGGAATGTTGTTGATGGAAATGGCAAGCAGAAGGAAGAATTTGAATGCAACGGTAGAGCATCCAAGCCAAATCTACTTCCCGATGTGGGTATATGATCAGTATATTGTGGGAAATGACTTGGAAATAGACAATGTTACAGAGGAGGAAAAGAAAGTGATAAGAAAGATGGTTATAACCGCCTTGTGGTGTATTCAAATGAAACCAAGTGATCGCCTTTCGATTTCCAAAGTTGTCGAAATGCTTGGAGGAGAGATTGAATGTCTGCAAATGCCTCTCAGGCCTTCTGTATGCCCCAAGAGACAGTTGTGACTCGGGGTGATATTCAAGACTATGGATTGAACCCAATATGTTCTAACGCATAGCTAACGTGTTCATTGTTAGCTAGGTGACCGTCAAATTGTTAAGAAAGTGTAGTAATGTATTATTAATTAAATTCTTGCTTTAAAGTGATTTTCTTGTGAATAACTGTCGTTTGTAATTGTTTGGCTTGGATTTATCTAAGAAGGACTTGTGTTGGTGCGTATAACATATACATTACTTTAGTCTGAAGAAGATGGAGAAATTGTACTGTACAAATGACAGTGTTTTGATCTGGATTTCATTCTATTTATGGCCATGCCATTACCTTAAAGAATGGGCCCTTACCCTTCGATTTCACTTTATTTACAACAATGCCTCTCTCTGCCGCTCCTCCTGATGCACACGTGTTGATAATCGTGGAATAGGAAGGACACATACCCCGCGAGAAGACAATGCCTTCTCAAACCCTACTTTCCTCGTCCGTCTTGCAGACCCCCCGCGATAACGATACAGACGATCTCGCATCCATCATATCCCTCATCTCGCCGCCGTCTCCTTTCTCTCGCTGATCGTTGGGCCAATTCGGTTTGCAAGGACCACAATGAGTGGAGCTGCTTTGTGTGGGGATTTCTAATGAGATGTTGCATTGTGATTGTAATGCAATGCATGCGATAAATGGCGTATTGTTCATCTTATCAAGAGCAGTAAGATCTTTAGTTATAAAGTATGAATCCGTATTCATAATAATTTGAGATCCAAGATGTTTTTTTAGACTAAAAGAAAGAGTTATAAAGTAAATATGACTGCAGGACCATTGGACTAGAAGACCACATACTCTTAACAATATATGATGAATAGTACTCATTGTTCTCTTTTTTGTTGTCTAATTCTTCTCTTTAAGGTATAATATGAAAATCTTATTCCAAAATTGTGTTTTTTTTCCTTCAGAGAAAATTTGGGCTATAAGAGCTCAGTGCAAAGCTTCTTGTAAGCATGGGAAAAAACCAAGGCACAGTTCCACGTGAGGTAGTTCAATCTTTCATTTTCGTCTGATTAGTACTTGCCCTCCAAGTATTAGATGCAATTTTACTTTTACAATGCTCTTATAGTTTGCCATTTTGTTTTGAGATGCTTTTAATTCTTGTTACATAGCGGAGCTGTAGTTCATGTGTGTGAATTTTTGTTTCGGTGTGTTTGGGGTTCAAAAGTGAATGCATTACTCAGGGATGGCTGTCAGCTTATCCCACGTATCTTTTACGTTTTCACTTTATTCATGTGCTGAATTATGGTTTCTCTCTAAATTGAAGAACTAAAAATGGCAAGCAAACTAAAAAGCAATTAGATTATGAATACTTTGGTTTCCCATCACTTCTTTGTTTTGTAATTTTCATTTATTCATGTTCTTTTGACAGCATATTCAATTGTATTTTTGGTTTTCCATGCATCGTTTATTTTATGCTTGCCTGTTCTTTTGTATGCCTGATGTCTTTCTCTACAAGCTATGCATGAAGATTTGTTGTTGTTCTCTGCCAAGAGATAATTTCACGGATTATGTTTTTAAAGTCATACAAAATACTTCTTGAGGATAACTGGGTTTGTCGGGACCTGTTTTCACTACAAATAGGATGTATCTTTTATATAAAAGAAGAGAATGGCGAGTTGCCAAAATTTCATTCTTCATCTTGATTTATTTCATGATGCTTTTTCTTTCATTTTATTTGATTCTTTCATTAGCTTTGCTAATTGCCACCACTTTATTTGAAATTGAACATCAATTACATGCCAAATGGACTTTAGAGATCAAGTATGGAGTGGAATGAGAGGAGAAGTCGTCACTTTCTCTCAGGTCTCTCTGGACAAGGTTTTCCTTATTTTTTTGTAATTGTTTTTTTTAGTTTAATGAGATGGAATTAAATAGTTAAGTTACCATACTAATGAATGTACTTTATTGAATTTTTAGTAATAAAAATGTGACAAAATGAACACCTTCTTTTTGTGTTTTTAATTTTTCTCACCTCTCCGAATTCAGTCCCACGCTACTGTGTCCAGCTCGCCCGGTTACCATAACCGACACAAACAGTGCAAGTGCCATAGACCCGCTCACATACACTCAGGAAATCACAACCACACGAAAAGCAACTTCCTTTTTTTGGTGGTCGAAGAAAGCTGCTCCCTTTAAAAGCCAGAAAAATCAAAACGACAACATTTTCTCTCTTCTCATCACCATCACTTTTTGCGTCTAATTGGAGTATGTGTTTCATGATGCAGCTACTTTGTATCTTCATTTTTTTCCCTGCATGTTTAGAGCAACTCCACCCATGAAGACCTTCCCCCTGGCAATCCACTATTGAATCCACCCTATTGAACAGTAACTGCCTTGAATGAATAGTAACTGACATTAATGAACAGTAATTGCCATTTGCATCTCCACCCTTGGAGCCCTCCCCCTGGCAATAGGCAATAAAATATTAGTTTTTTTTGTTTGTTTAAATAATACAAAATAAAATTATTTGTAATTTCGGATAAGATTTTTTAAATCGTTATCGTTGCGCCACGTATCATTTTATAAAAAAAAACAATTATTTAACGATGGATTTCGATAAGATTTTTATCAAATGTCATCGTGCCACGTGTCGTTATCGTTTGAGAATCTTTGACGATAGATTTTGATCAGATTTTAACTCGTTCAAAATTGCGCCACGTGTCATTATCCGAAAAGATAATTATTGGAGATGGATTTTGATAAGATTTTTATCCAATACGATCGTGCCACGTGTCATTATCTTTTCAGAATCTTTCAAGACAGATTTCAATCAGATTTTAACTCGTTCAAAATTGCGCCACGTGTCATTATCCAAAATGATAATTATTGGAGATGGATTTCGATAAGATTTTTATCCAATACGATCGTGCCACGTGTCATTATCTTTTCAGAATCTTTCAGGACAGATTTCGATCAGATTTTTAACGAATGACGGCATGCCACGTGGCCTTATCTACAATCCGATCCTTTCTGAATCGTCCATATAATCCACCATCCATCCTCACAAATCTCACACCAATTTTCTCAACATCTCAATCTCATTATTCATAGATTTTGCTTCTTCTTCACCATCCATCCTACAATGTCTTCTTCTTCATCAAGGATGATGTGGGAAATCAATCAGCAAGAGAAAGAATTGTTTAACCAATCTGAAGGAATGTTCAACCTTCATATAGGCAGAAATGAGATGGAAGAAGATGAGGAGCGTAGAAAGAGAGATGACGAAACAAGAATGGCCAGAGCCTCACATTCTCGTCGAGTCATCCAGACTGTTGCTCAGATATGCAGGCCCAGCCGTTCAAAAAACCTTGATAGAAGCAGGCAACGACGGGGTGAAGAGCTGTTGGACGATTACTTCGTCCATAACAGTGCATTTCCTGATACGTACTTCAGACGCCGTTTTAGAATGGAACGACATTTGTTCAACAGAATCATGACTGATGTTTGCAACCATGATTCTTACTTCGTGCAAAAGAAGGATGCTTGTGGTGTTATGGATCTTCTGCCAGAGCAAAAAATCACTGCTGCGTTGCGGATGCTTGCGTATGGAGCATCTGCAGACCAAGTGGATGAGATAACGAGGATGGGGAAATCAACCATTCTTGAGGCCCTGATGAGGTTTTGCGGAGCAGTCGAATCTTTGTACACGGCAGAGTACCTCCGAAGACCTACTCACATGGACTTGCAAAGGCTTCTGAAGAAGGGCGAGATGCGAGGTTTTCCTGGGATGATAGGAAGCATCGATTGTATGCACTGGACGTGGAAAAACTGTCCAAGTGCATGGCAAGGCGCATATGGGGACAGAAAATGAGCAAAATCTATCATTTTGGAGGCAGTGGCATCTTTTGATACATGGATATGGCACGCCTTTTTCGGGGTTCCCGGGCTCAAAATGATCTCAACGTCCTTACCCAATCCCTAGTGTTCAACGACGTCCTCCAAGGAAAGGCATCACAAGTCACGTATGTCGTCAACGGACGTAGGTACGACGGGGCATACTACCTAGCTGACGGCATTTACCCACAGTGGGAAACATTTGTCAAAACAGTGCCACGTCCGAGAAGTGCAAAGGAAAAACACTTTGCAAGCTGTCAAGAGGGATGCAGGAAGGATGTGGAGCGTTGTTTTGGTATCCTTCAAGCTCGTTGGGCGATTGTCAGGGGTGCTGCCAGAATGTTCGATGTAGAGTCACTTCGATCCATCATGATGACGTGCGTCATTCTTCACAACATGATTGTGGAAGATGAGTTCGATTATGATGCGGTTGATGAATATGAGCCAGAGCCAGACACGATGAACAATTCAAGAACACGGATATATTGTGCGCATGATGCCACCGAAGAACCCGTGCAACACGAGCCATTAGAAAGGGATGGACGTTACAATGAAAGGGTTATTCAACAATATACTGCACTTCAAAGGTCATCTATACACAATGATCGGCAAATTGACTTGATAGAGCACCAGTGGGCATTGAAACAAGCTGAAGATACTTAAGTTTATTTACTATATTTGTTTGTATTTGGTGTGTTTATGTAATTTAATTTGGTGTGTTTTTTGTAGTGAGTTTTTTATTATTTGGTATGTTTGTGTAATTTTATTTGGTATGTTTATGTAATTCCAATTGGTGAGTTTTTTAGTTTTATTTGGTGTGTTTCATTATTTCATTATACGTGAACAATTTGATGAATAAAGATTCTATTATTAGGATAAATATATTACGAAATTAAATAAATCTACATCTTCTTCATCAACCTGAGTGCCATCATCAGGTGTAGAGTGTGGAGGGTTGCTGTATACAAAGGTGCTGTGTAGAGGGATGCTGTTCATGCATACTTCTGGACCAACAGGCACAACTTTGAATTTAGGACAATCTTTAACAATATTCCAACATTCCCATCGGTGGAATGATTTGTTTCTTGATTTGATTTTGGCAGCATACCATGCTTGTGCTTGAAGTTGCTACAAATGAATAATAATGAAATTATTAGGTAACAAATAAATAATACAAAGAAATAATAATAATGAAATTATTAGGTACCAAATAAATAATACAAACAAATAATAATAATGAAATTATTGGGTAACAAATAAATAATACAAACAAATAATAATTATGAAATTATTGGGTAACAAATAAATAATACAAACAAATAATAATAATGAAATTATTAGGTAACAAATAAATAATACAAACAAATAATAATAATGAAATTATTGGGTAACAAATAAATAATACAAACAAATAATAATAATGAAATTAGGTCACAAATAAATATTGCAAACAAATAATAATAATGAAATTAGGTAACAAATAAATGAAACAAACAAATAATTATAATCAAATTAGGTAACAAAATAATAATACAAACAAATAATTATAATATATTCTTACCTCATCCGCATAATTTGCCCCACTTCGAACATTATTACTAGCTTGTGTCAAGGCATCTCTCCACGTACTAAAGGAATGGCTAAGTATTTTCCAACGACTCGATATCGATTCTTTGGTTCTTTTCCCACTCATTTGCTCAACAAATTTGGTATGAATTAAACTCCACATTTCTCGCAACTGCATCTCATTACCCGTAACGGAATTATGAGTAACTTGAACCCAGCTAGTGCACAACGCAACATCTTCAAGAAGCGACCAATTCGAACCTGCATCAGTAGCCATTTTGTGGAAAAAAATTGGATTGAAACTTTAAGAGAAAGATAGGAATTTGATTGAAAGTAGTTGAGAAAATATGAAATTGTGGTGTAAGGTAGATAGAGAAGAAGTGGTATTTATAGAAAAGTAAAAACAAATTTTTACAAAAAAAATTTCAGATTTTTTACAATTTTTTCGGATTTTTTCCATTTTTAAAAAAAAATTCCAATAATTAATTTCTGCCGTTGGATTTAAAAAATTTTGAATTCCAACACTCCAGATTGTGCCACGTGTCACAACGGTAACTTTTCTTAATTTTAAAACTATTTTTTCTTTATTTATAAAGCATATTAATATCGACCGTTGATCTCGGATCGAACGGTTGATATTAAATCAGATTTTTTTTATTTTTTTTACCATTGAGATCCAACGGTCCAAATGAAGGAGCCGTTGAGATCGAACAGACCGTGGGAAGCCACGTGGCTTCCCAACGGTAACTGTGAAAGGCTGAAAAGTTGTCTGTTTTTCTGAAAAGTTGTCGGGCGACGCGCCCCCACGCGCGAGTGGGGTGCACGCGCCTGACAGAAAAAAATAAAAAATGGGCTTGGAGCTCGGGCTCCGAGGCTGTCACAAATTGACAGACCCCCTGCTCGGGCCTTCTCCACGAGCTCGGGCTCCTCATAGCTGGAGCAACTTGACAGGCCCTCAGGCCTTTTCTTCTCCCCTGTCCCCCGGCCTATTTACAAGGCTGGAACTGCTCTTATTTACGTTCTCAGCTTTTACACTACAACCATTAGATTTGTTATTTTGTTTTCTCTTTTTTTTTTCTTTTGGTTTTGAAAAATAAGTCTTCATCTTGCTTCCCCACTAACATTTGGCACGGGTAGGAATGGTTTAGGTGTGCTCAGTTTTGGCCTAAATGGTTATCGAACGAGCCTAAATGTTTGTTTCAATTCTCTGCCCCTGTTGTTGGTGGATTTCAAGTTATTTACAAAATTGCCACCTTTCGGTGAGGGTTTCAGGGATGGGAGGCCATGCCGCTCTGGGATAAAGATAGACAGACAGAGGGAGAGGGAGACAGAGCGACAGAGAGAAAGGGAGAGGGAGGAGTGGGGATCTCAGTACCATTGCTACAGATCCTCGATTTCATGAGTGGGAGAGGGGGTACAGTCAGAGAAAAGTATGGGGGCCGTCGGGATTTGAGGGGGAAGGGTATGGATCGGGGCCGGGGATCTGGGTTTGTCCCTTTGGGCTGTTTGCGACCTCTCTTAGCGACTTACTCCGGCTTCCGATGATGGAAACACTAAATCATTCACTCCTCAAGTATGTTACTTTTCAGTCATTGTTCGATTAGTTCCAGTTCTCATTCTAATCTCTGTAAAGTTTGTTGCTTTGCTCTGTTTAGGGTTTGAAGAGGAGAGAGAAAGTTATGCCTCATTACTTTATGTAGAAAATTACTTTATACATATGCAATTTACATGTCTTGAAGTAACTGCAGTATCCTTTGCTTCATAGACAATTTCTGAAATTCCTTTTCTTTTTCTCTCCTAATTTCAGTCAATGATGCTGACCAAAGATTACGGAGTTGAGTACCAGGATGAGGAGACTAGGAATGAGTTTTGGCTCTTAATAATTGCTGCTCTGTTGCTTGGAATTGTCAGTGCTTTCAGTTCGACTTCAACAATACTATATGTGCATCTTAAAGTTATAGGAATATAATTTACATTTCAGAATTTAATTTATTTAAGTGTTTTGCTAAAACACAAACACTGAGACTTGGTGGTGGCCTGCACTTTGCAGCCACAACTAAGACCAAGGGGTTGATTTTTATTTTCCTTTCCTTACCAATTGGATAAAAGTGCAACCCACCAGATAAGTAGTTAATTAGTATACTACTAAAGTTACATAATGCCACTTAGCAGCTGGAAATTAACGAACTAGATTTCTTAACATATTTTTACATTCCATGTTTTTTTGTATGACAACTTTTTAGGTGCTGCAGTTTTGTTCTGGTTTTTCATTCTTTCTGTGAATTTCAATTGTAGTAGGATTGAATCATTTAAATTGTGGGATTGTTTTGTTTGATGGGTTTCAATTGTGTTTTCATTTATATAGTACTAATGGATTTACTGTGTTGGCAATTTCAAGAATTTGAATCGTTGGAGGGGGAAGTTGGTTCCTAGGCATTTTGAGGTATATAATTATATACCCTATTTTTATTCAAAGCCTATTTTAAATGTATGATTGGTTTGTAAGAAATGAATGAAAAAGAGAGTTAGAATACCCTATTTTGGATTTCGAAAAACAAAGTTAGAAATGTATAAGGATGTGCATTTTATTTACCCTGTTTTGGATCAGAGTGTGTGTTATTTGAAAAAGAGAGTTAGAGATGTATGATCAGTGTCTGTGTGTGTGTGAGAGTTGTTCATTGAGGTGGTTTTTGCCACTAGACTTGCATGATTGTTCAGGACTGACAACTGTGATAGTAGAATTATGTAATTATGCATGAAGCGGAGAATAATGGAGAAAGATGGCTTTCTATAGTGCTGCCAATGGCAATTAATTTCTCATGAAAACAAAGAAAAGAGAAACAGAGGTATAATAGTATATTATTTTTTATAGTTACAAATATTATGATAGCATGCTTGAAGAATCAATGTTTTAAAAGGCTCACCTCAGGGTGCGCCTAGGCACCCTGTGAGGCTGGACTTGAGGGTTGCCGCCTTTGTTTTGAGGGAGTGGGCGGAAGGCGCCGGAAGGCGTTGTCGGAGCCGCCTAGACGCGCCTCAAGCAATTTTTTTTTTATTTTTTATTTTTACTCCCAAACCCAGATTTTGGGTAGGGTTTTAACTACCTCATACCTATTCCTTGCACTATATTGTGTGCCGTCTGCATGCATTGTTATATGTGTGCTCATTGTGCTTTTCATCCTCTATTTTATATATATATAACATAATATATGTATATATATGTGTATATATGTATTTATAATATATATGTGCGCTCAGGGTAATTATTGATTAATAATTTTTTTTTAATATAATATATGTGTACGCTCAGTGTATATATTAAAAAATTTAGGTCCCGTAAGGCGTGAGGCGTGGGCTATCCCTCAGACGCCTCGCCCACGCCTCGCGCTTTTAATACATTGTGAAGAATACACACAAAAATATCTAAAAACACCTCAAGTCACTCTCTTTTTTTCCTACAACCTAAATAATGATAACATGCTTGAAGAATACACACAAAAATAGATATTTTGTCTTGTAAAACTGAAAGTTTGAAAAATCACTCACCGAATGTCCCAAGATATAATCCTTATTTCTAGCAACCCTTCCAATCCTAACTTGCCATCTTGGAATGATTAGATAACCAAAAACAACATGGTCTGACAGTTAAAATGGTCAGCTAAATTATATGTTAAAAAATGCTTACCCAAGTAAACTGAAGATTCATCATTTGATTGTAATTCCCAAGCCAATCAAGGAAAAACCAAAAATTAAATAATAAAATCAGCATACAGTAAGGAAAATAGTCAGAACAAAAGCAGAATTTGACTGGGAAAAAAAAATGCACATTTCTTCTAATTAAACACATCACTGTTTTTCTTCACAAACCTTGCCTTCTCTTCCTGCTCTGGCCTTCTTTCAACTATTGTCCCACAGATGCACTTCGTATTGACCGGTCCTTCAGTGCCTGACCAACTACAACCAAATGCAAGTACTTTCATCATTCTTCCAATTCCTTTTTACATTCAACCAAACAAACAAACACTCTGTACTTGTCCATGCAATCCATTATAAACTCCTTTTAAAACAAAACATTGATTTCACGAAAAAATTAAAAATTCCTACCTTTAAATCTGCTACAGCACAGTACATCTTGGGAACTTTACTGCTGATCAACAAAACATTAGCAGAAGAATCCTCACTGACAGCTTCAAAGGTGTTCTGTAAAACTCTCAGCGTATCTTTCCCAATTGCATTTCTCACCTCCAACCTCTCCAACCTAACCTGAACAACCCCTGTTACCAAACAAACAAAACCCAATTTGGTTAATGCTTTATAGGTCATAGAAAATTGGCTAGGGCCCTTTATCTGCAAAACACGCTGTACTTGTCCAATCAATCCATTATAAACTCCTTTTAAAACAAAACATCGACTTCACAAAAAAATTAAAAATTCGTACCTTTAAATCTGCTCCAGCACAGAACATCTTGGGAACTTTACTGTTTTTGACTTACATTGTGATCTGTAGCTTTTCCAACCCCAACAGAGGCAACTGGGAAGCGAGAGCATAGAGCATGTCCCATGGAAGCTCCTCGACATTTGGTAAAAGATCATCGCCTGCAAAACTGAAAAGAGAACAACAGCAAACAATTTCTCATCCTCCACATCATATTTTGGCATGAAAATTTCAGCGTCTGCAATTGTGACCTTCGCTGTCTGCAAGATTTGAGCTTCACGGGCCTGTTTTGTAAAAGGTGGCAGTATTTTTAGAGGTTCTGTGCATTTGGAAAAGCTGTAGAGGTTAAAACAGAACATTAGTTCATAAATTTTGTGAGAATAGCCCTTCTTTTATTGTGAGAGCATATAATATTTTTTTAAACAAAGTAAACACACTTACACTGATTTGTATGAATTTACTTCCAGAATATCTAGATCAATGAAGAAAAGTGATGAACCAATGGTGTTCAAGACTATCTTGTCTGTGTGTTGAAAAATTAATGAAAAATTGCATGTTAAAAAACTGCTAAATATATTAATCTAAGTTTAAAAGTCAAATATTTTGAGAAAATGCTAGATTTGTCTAAATAATCTCAGTATATTAATCTAATTCTAATTCTAAAACAAATACTGAGAGTGATACCAAATAATTCTAATTCTAAAACAGGTTAAATATATTAATCTAATTCTAAAACAAATACTGAGAATGATAACAAATAGTTTAATACTATTGTTTAATTCGTATGTATACATGCAAGAAAAGAGTTGCTAATCAATTTCAACTAAATGTTAGCTTTTATATGAAATGCTGTAAAAAAATTGATCAAAAGAAGTGAATATGTTTGTGTGACATGTTAAGAAAATATTAGTAGAGTATATATTAAATAACGTTTGAATATAATAGAAAAATTAATAGTAAATAGATTAGTTTTTAACTAAGTCAAATACCTAGGTACAGCTTGACCTTTAAACTTGTGAAAACCACAATGATCGGCAGAGACAATGATTCAATGGATAAAGAAGCAATACTTCGAGCAACATCTGCCCACAGCGTAACTGTCAGCTCTTCTCCTCTGTGGGAAAAGCAAATTCCAAACAAATTTTTAATAGGTAAGTAATATACAATGCAAGCCTGAATATGCACCAGTAGTTTCGGGAAACCTTGGTCTGCATACTCTGCAAACTCGAACCTTGATTTTTCTGCATTTATGTACGGGACCATCTGATTGATAGGAGTAAGAGCTCTGTTTTCCATCAACTGGAGTCAAATTAAACAAAAATGTTAGAAATTTAGAAATGATATGCAAGTCCTGAATCAATTTATAAAAAAAAATAAGTAAATAAAAACTCTAAATGAGGTCAACCCTATCCTTCTCTTATATTCTTCTATCTTCCCTCTGTTTTCCTCCCCCAATTCTGAATCATTCTTCCACCCTTGGTATCTCGATTTTATCTCACCTTAACATTTTATATCCAACCCGCAACCCAGCTCTCTTCAAATTGTATTTAAAACAATGAATTGCTTGCATAAGAATGGTGCAAAAAGGCAGAATGCAATCCAATTGAAAATCGGTCCAATAAAAAATTCAAACAAAAAAAACTCCTCATTTCTCTCATCAAACCAAAATTCGCAAATCCAACAGAATTCCTGGTCACAACACATAACATAAACTGATAAAACATTTTACTCAAATAACGATTTAATTTTTAAAATTTAAAATAAAAGAGAACTAAATGCACATATTTGGAAGAAAAAAAATGGAATGATTCCATATGTAAATCTCACCCCAACAGTTTTAAAACGCAATCATCCCAGTGCAAACAGAAGGTGGAAAATGTTGTCCCAGCACAAACACAACCTGCAAAATAAACAAACCAACACACACACAAAACCAAATGAATAACGATAAAATTCAGAAACCCTACCACACAAAATCATAAGAACAACATTAAAATTACCAATAAAAGTTAGCAAAAAACACACGATCTGATAATAAACGTCTTAACGCCAATGATGGCCTCAAACCCAAACAAAATCCAAATCAGTTAAAAAAAATAGTGAAAATGAACTGAACCCATTCCTCTATCATATTCTTTTCATCTGTTTTCCTACCCCTAATCCCAAATCTCTCTTCCATGCTTTCTCTGCCGTTTTCCCCTCACCCTCGATCCCATTTTCTTCCAAGTTAACAGCCTTTACAAATTTTTTAGAACCATAGAAAGACAAACATGGCCGATTCAAATAATAAACACACACAGTTAACCTACCAATTCATGCCCAATTTGTTAAAAATATGAATAAAAAATAATCACAACACATACTTCAATGGGTCCTCTCATTCCTTCCCAAAAATTATAAACAAATTTTAACCAACATTAAATTTTCCCAAATTGAAATCACTTTTCTAATCTCTCCTGAAAAACTATAAACACATTTTAATTCTTCATGAATGGGTGCTCAAACCGGGAAAAAACCAAAAAGGAGAAAAAACATACCAAAAAAATAACAGGACCACCACAGCTGTTCGTAAATCTGTGATCGACCAACCAAGCAACAAAAACGCAAATACCCTCTTAGCCAGGAAAATCCTAACAGAGGACCACAACTGATCCAAAACAAAATTATTAGAGCTTCATCCAAATTAACAAAAATACAGAACAAAAATTGAAAGACAGCAGTTATAAAACATACCTCGGTTGTATTAAATTGATTTGCCAAAGATCTAAAGACTGCCGGCGCTTAACGACCGAAAGGCAGAGAAAACAAGAATCACAAAATGTTTGACCGCCGATCGCAAGTCTACAAATCTCGGATAATGGGGTCAGAGAAAACACCCACAACCATAGGTCTAAAAACCCTCCTCAAGTCAGATCGCAGAAATAAGATCGCTTAAAAGACGAAAATCAAGAGCAACTGAATGATGCAGAAATGCTTAATAACAAGATAGTTAAGTGTCTGTTTTTCATTCTATTTGCAGAATCCCAAGACCACAGCCCATAAACTATCACCACGATTTCAACTTGTCGAAGAGTGGGGACGCTTAGGGGGGCGGCCTGAGCCACCACCCTTATCATTTGGTAAAAAAGAGAGAAAACAATTGGTACGCAATATTATAAACTACCATTTTTTTATTCCACTTTCATAGCATAATCTCAGCAATCATGTCTACATTTTTATAGCTGTTAACTCAAATCCAACTTTTCAATTATTTCAAAATGCATCCGTAAATAAGGAGTCCTATCAGCAAAATAAAATTTCTCGCACACCTGCAATTTTCCTCCACTTCTCTGAGCTTCAGACTCCAGCAGATGAACCAACTGTTCTTTTTCTTTGGATATCCAAGCTCACCTGTTGTCACGCCATTGCCTCGTTGTATCAGGCAATGAACACAATATTTAAGAACAGCAAACAATTGGAGAGGAGCAGGCAGGGATGAGAGAAAGAGAGAGAGCAGCAGAAGCAGAGGGTTAAACCGAAAAGAAAATTACCCATATGAAAAACCCGAAGAACTCACCAAGAAACCCTAGCTCTTCTGCGCAAGAAATTCCTTCAAATCAAAACGAAAAACTGAACATGGGTACCTGATGTTAACACCCACTGACAGCACCAATTTCACAAAAAACTTGTCAAAACCTGCAGATCCGCAGCAAAAAGAAAAATAAAGATCTTAAATTTGTTAGCCCAGACATCGTAAAATGAGGATAAATCATTAAAAACAAACTTACCTTAAAGCTGCTGCCCCGACGATCGCAAGATGAGAACAAAACGCCCAACAACAAAGGATTCGATAAACCCAGGATCTCTTCTGAGACTATTTTGCAAAAGAAAGAGCAAGGATTTGAGAGCAAAAGAGGGGCTGGCGAAAAGGGAGAAAGTCGGAGGTGGATTGTGTGCCCTCCCATTTCCATGCTCTCCCAATGCCTATGTGGTCACGTTAAGACACGTCAACATTTTATATTCTTATTACCTTTTATTTATTATTTTTATAAAATATTGACGTGGGGAGATCATGGAAATGGGAGGGCATGGGGAGACCATGGAAATGGGAGGGCAAACAATCCACCTCCGAAAATCGTAGCCTAACGAATGCGAAAAACGAAGAGGAAAGGTAAAGCAAAAAAGATGTGGTCGAAGCAAGAGAAACGGACGATGAAAGATGCGTGGACAGGAAGGACAAAACGGACTTTATACTGTAGCAATTCGTAAACAGTACGTGAAGTAAAGAAGAATCCGAGGGCATTTTCGCCCTTTCACGGTTAATGAACAGTGCTCTATCTCCCATGATGAACAGTAATTTTCTGCTGGCTTTTAGTATATGTACTAGAAATTAGGCCCGCGCATTGCTAGGGAAACCAGTTGTTTTAAGCGTAAACAGATGAATAAAACACATTTAAGTTGAATAAATTCAACACAATTATGAACAAACAAAAGGATACATTTAAGTTGAATAAAAGCAAAACGGATTTTGTTTTGCATTTTTATAATCAAATCAAGTAGCAATGTAACACGTAAAATTACAAACTTGAAGCAACCAGAGAGAGCAAAAATTAAGATGTAAAGATATCCTCAAACTTGCAACATACTATATGGAAGCTAACCGTAGAGGTTTGTGAAGCAAACTGCGGCATGAGTTGCAGTCAATTGAACAAAAGCATAGTAGTTTAACTTTGTACTTAAAACCATAGGCAAATGAAGAACAATGTTCTCTTTCATAACGAAAAATTTATTTTAACCACTATCATCATTAGGCAAATCGTTTCACAAATCCAAAAACACAGAATTATATCTTGAACAATGCCAATTAATGATCTCCCATTTACTTAAGCTCAACATCAAAGCCAATGAACTGATGAAAGAGCGAAAAAGAGAAACAAAAAACCTCAATTAAGCAATTAAATGGAGTATTACTTGATAGAGCTGGAAAATTACCCAGTTCTTTAGATAGAGGATCAAGAGTGACTGATGAGAGTGCAGAGAAACGAACGATTGAGAAATTCAAGCTCTGAGCTCAAAGTTGGGGCTTCCAATTTCCAACTGGGGGAGAAATAGCAAGGAAAACACAGAGAACCAATCCACCAAAAATATTAATCAAATGGGTTTCTTCTAATTCAAAATTTGGACCACCCAAATTCCGATGAAGCAATAACCATTCAAAATTCCAACATATTGAAGCCCTCACATACTACAAATTATCAATACCCAGCAATAAAAATTTTGAAAACAGTAATAATGAAGGAAAAAGAAATTAAAGCTTCGAGGCATTCTCTAAATCTCAAGCATCAATCCAAATAGCCAGTAATTTGCACATAAGATAAGAATCTAGCAATATTTCCTTTGTTTAAAACCCAAATTCAAGAAATCATGAAAAATGTAAACTTTATATGGTAATTGAAGCTTTACCTGCAGATCAGCAGCAGCAAATGGAATCCAACGGCATGTACCTCAAAAGTGAGAGAGAGCTGAGAGATGAGTGAGAGAATCGATAAACAAAACCTCCAAAATCACAAAAGGAAATTTGAACAGAAAACAAATTTGCAAATCCAAAATCACAAAAACATTGAGAAAGCTGTAAAACCCACCAGGAAACGCTGGCTTTCTGGGTAAAAAAATTATTCGAATCGAATTGAAGAACCGAGGAAAGTTCTACTGGTTTAGTGGTTTTTCAGCAAGAAAGCACCCTGTTTGTAATTCATGAGAGGTTGGATAGCGAGACTTCTCTTTCCAAAGAGGTAGCCCCCATTTCGCGATTGCCAAGCATCCTTCACAGTACTAACAGCAAAAAAAACTCAAATAATTCCAAACCTCAACAAATCAAAAAAGGACCAACACAAACACTCAAATAAAAATTTCATCAATTTGTTTATGCTCAATCCGCTATTCTTATTTCATTTCGAATTCTCTGAAAAAAAATACATAAATCCATAAAAAAAAAATCTACCCAAATGAAAAAGAGAAAAAGAAAAAAGAAATAGAAGCTTTCAACAGAGAGATTACCTCAACAACAGAAAGAAACATGTGACTTCTTCAATTTGAACAAAATTCAAGGTAAGTGGCCAAAACATTATGATTATTCAGCTAGTAAATAATGGATTCACCACATTTATAACTCAGGAAATGCAATCCACCATCAAAATTCTATTCATTAAATAGTGAACCCTATATCTTTTGCTAATGAATATTCAAAGTATTTGGCGATAAAATAATGCACAATGGAATAGATTAATCATCAATTAATTTTAATTATCAACTAAAAATAATATTCATTAAAATTGGGGTTTCAGTAACTCTAAATTTTGCTATTGATAAGTGCCAAAAGATGAGTGGCAGGGATATAAACAGAGGTTAATGGTCCAGCTTAGCAGATCAGTTTATAGGTTAGTGTTTGTTAACCTATTAAGTATGTGTCTTGAGAGCTAAGCAAGGTGATTAGTTGTTGTATTAGTTCATGAAACATTATATGGCAAACCAATGTCAGTTCCTATGAAAAATAAGATCACAGAATCTCAGAACAACAATGCGAGAACATTGCAAGCAACAAAAAACATGAATAAATCAAATATCAAAATCCAACTGACCCAAGCTTCTTTCTCACTTAATACTAAGTCATTCTTAGCTTCGTCTATTCAAGTAATCTGCACATGCATCCGGCAACCCACCTACACCATTAGGAAACAACATGTGTAAGAAGCAGATTAACAAATCAAACATATGCAACTATCTAAGGGAGGAAAAAGTTAAACAATGAAAAGTTGTTAGTTGAGGCAAATCATACTCCACAATGAAAATTAGTAAAGATTAAAGTACAAAACAATTGAGGTAAATCATACTCCAGAACGAAAAAATTTTAGAAATACAAACTTAAAATATTACCCATCATGCTAGACGCTTCTTCTAACACAATTACATTCACCTTTCTAATATCATAGTATTTTTTTCATTTCTGCAATCAATACCGTTCAATCTTTGAATTTTTCATAAATTGGATGGTAGAGTGTAGAGCCTAAAAAATGTTAGGCAGGCTGCTACAAAGATAGTAAAGCCCAACAGTTAGAGAACAATGGATATTCATTGTACTCAATATGCATATATCCCAGGGCCAAGAAAGTTATAAAGAAACAGAAATGAAACTGTACAACAGGTATCCAGCAGGGAACAAACAATATGAAACTGGCACTCAAGTACTGTAAGGAAAATCAAATTAGCATTCATCTAACCAGAGCTTCTAGCTGCTAACAATTAGTTGTTAAAACCCTAACACTAATCAAGCGATCCAGCACATATATCTAGCTTTCTTGCATCCCGCCAGTAATAAAATGCATTCAAGCGCATAGTAGCAGCATGCACAAATAAAGCAGTTTGAGTGACATTACCAGTAGATCAGTGAGTTCACGATAGCTCTTCCTTAGCTCCATGTGTTCCTGCAAAATGGAAAATATAACCTATAAATAACATAGTTCTCAATATAACTTAGTAAAACTCTTCATATGAAGATATACGAAAAGAGAGGAAGCAGATTTCACTTGGCGCGAGTAATGCTCTACATCCCTTTTCATGGAAGCCATCTCAACTCTCATTTTTTGGACTTCGGCTTGAAATCGAGCATTTCAAGAAGGTTGTTTGACAAAGCAAAAAATTCAGAACGCAAAGCTACAAATTGATAATAACAACACTGTTGGGCAATAAACAAAGGATACTTACCTCCAAAGAAAAAAGCTTGCCCTCTGCATCCCTCTGACATTGGCGTGCACGGTCCACTTCTTCATGCCATGCCTGCACCTTAGTATTCACAACTGTGAGTGAGTACTATAATACCATGGTGAAGATTTAAATATCCTCAACTAATTTGGGTTGGGCTGGGCGCCCATGTGACAATGACTATAGTCAAAATTTCAACAAACCAAAATAATATGCAGATAAATAAAATAGAAAATAAAGCCAGCTAATTTCATCAAAAGATAAACAATTTGGATACATTAAGACGCCGAGCAGCAGGAAACTGACCTGGTTTCTGAAGGAGGCATCTGTCTCGGCCTCTCCAGCAGCCTTTCCCTGGCGAGCAGCATACCAGTTCTCTATCTTGTATGCTATTTTCAGCTGGATCTTCTTAACTCGTTTCAAAAAAAACGTTCATATAGTTCACCTGCTAAGATTATCACACAGCAAAAAAGTAAACAGATTTGTACAAAAGAATACATAAGGAACCAAGAAATGAGAAAAAGATCTACCAACAGAGGGATGAGAAGCAAACACCAGCAAATTATGAAGAAGCAGAGAAATGAGCACAGTGAAACCCAAAAATTCAAATGATGGTTTGAACAAAGCAAACGAGAACAAAATAATAAAAAAAAAGTTTTTCAAACAGTGTATAACCTGTTGAATCAAAAGAAAGAACTGAAAACTCATACCCTCCCACACGTCCCTCCTTCACTCTGTCACTCTGTCACTCACCCTGCGCACCAACCCATTAATTAACACCAAAAATTGCACACAGTCATGCTTCCTCCTCTCTCTCTCTCTCTCTCTCCCTCTCCCTCTCTCTCTATCTCCCTGTCTATCTCTCTCTCTAAAAAGATAAATCCCCCAAAATCGGACCTAACATACTAAACAATTCCAAAAGCTAAGCTACCATAAAAATACAATAAAAAAAACGAACTTATCTTTGATTTGAGGCATGCAGCGCAAGATCCGGTACCCACTCTCAGCAGGGTTCATTCATGACCCCTACCCCGTTTCCCTGAAATCCCAACGACCTATATGGTCTTCTCTGACCATACCCACTCTCCCACTTGTGAAATCCACATGCAACAATAGTGCCGAGAACCCTTCCCTTCCCCCTCACTCTCCTTCCATCGCCATCTCTCTCTCTCTCTCTCTCACCCACACACACACAGAGCCCTCATCCCCGAAACCCTCATT